TATATGTATATACACTATCTGTTATCTATTTCAAACCTGATTTGCTTGAAAAGCAAAGAAAAAAAAAGTCAGGTCAGCTTTTAGCTTTGTCAAGCTTAGATTAGAAAAATTTTACCAAAAGTAAAAAATAAACGATTTTTTCCTAAAATAAGCCCACTTGTACTTTTCAGGCGATTTCCTCACATTCCTCCCACAGACAGGGAAGGCCTTTAAACTGCCTTTAATAAACCCCTCCCTTCCACCGCCGCTGCCCGCCTGGCTCAGAGCCGGCAGCCCTGCTCCTCGATGGCCCGCACGGGCTGGACGGGCAGCACCAGGTGCGAAATGCGGCTCCACAGCCCGCTCAGCTTGTCCGAGTCCATGTGGTTGAAGGAGCTGGGCGTGTCCGCGTTGGTAAACCGGGCCCAGAGCAAATCTCGCACTTTCTCTTCCGTCTCCCTGGGGCCCACGCTGGCGGCCAGCGTGTCCTCCTCCAGGAGGACGGTCAGGACGAGGGCCACGTCCTTGAAGGCCGCGTTCTCGTGGTCGCAGTACTTGTAGAAGATCAAGGTGGAGCCTGCGGGGAGGGACTCGAAGCGGTGCACCACGGCGGCCTTCCTGCCATCCTCGAACCCAGAGCTCAGTTCCATGTCCACCAGTAGCTTGACCGTGTCACTGTCCTGCAAGGTTCTTCCCGCCCCGTCGATCTGAATGGCAGAGACCTTCTGGGAAGAGGTGTAGGCGTCCGCCACGCGATGGCTGAGGCACCGCAGGGTCTCCCTTCCCTCTCGAGCTGCTGTGAAGATGATGGTGGCCGGCTCGGTGGGGTGTGAAGCGTTGAGGTGCTTCTGGAGAAACTTGCGTCCTCTCTGCCACAGAAAAGCGCTCTGGCCCGGAAAGGTGTCCTTCAGCTGGCTGAACTGAGCCAGGAAGGCTTCCAGCGCTGGATTTTGGGGCACTTGCTGTGCTGGAGAGGAATAGTAGCTTTGAGCGGAGCTTAGCAAAACAAGAGCCACCAGGAAGCCAAGAAAGATGGAGCCTGTCAGAGAATGAAAAAGATGAACAACAAAAGGAGAGAACGTGAGTCAGAAATAAAACCCCTGGTAAATTGAAATGAGGCAGAGATACTGTTAGATTTTTACGGGTTGTGGTGAGTTTCTTTTGCCAAAATCCTTTAAACTTTCTACTCTTAAAATCTCCCAGATACACTCTTTTTTCTGATTTCTTTGACTTAATTATTTGAAGATGCAATATCTTTGTTAGAAGGTAAAAGCTAAGTTTTTGTATTTGTTGCTATAATACGTTGCTACAATGTAATATAAAGATGTGATGTAGAAATGAGCTCTCAGGATATTCTACCTTCTCAAAATACCTATCACCTGTAACATGCCTTTTATTTTTAAAGGTCAAAATGTAAAAATGCCACTTGCGAGGTTAATATTCTCTAACTGAAAAGGCAGTTGTAATTTCTTGTTTATGACATGTCTTTCCTCCTGTGGTAATTCCCATTTTGTTAAGGGTGGCAAACTAGCAGCCAGCAAGCACCCCCGAAGGAGAAACCCTAAAACTCCACTGCTCTATTTTCCTGTTACCTCCTATCAAACACTTTTTAACACGTGACTAAACTGTTTAAACCTGCACATTTTCTAGGTATTCTTGCTGAGGATTTCTGAATGTGAATTGACACTGTACCAGCTTTGTTCTCACCATAGCTCCAAAAATCCTTTTTATTACTCTTTCTTATGGCGTCCTGTGCATCCTCTTTATTTTCTTCTAATGTTTGTATTTCCTGTTGATGACTTCAGCTTCTGGGGCGGGGGGGGGGGGGGGGGGGAGAGAGAAAAGAACATTATTTCTAGGCAATACACTAATGAGAGTGTGTATACTTTTACACCTCTAACCAAACTAAAGAATTATTTGACTGAGCCAATTTCTATACTTTGTAAAATTTTCCGTTATATAAGGCTTTTTTTCCCCTGCCTTTTTCTTAAGGTTCACTATTATTTTTATTCTACTTAGCAGAATAAAATGTAGTATCATGAAATTCATCGACGGATACTGTTGCTAACATTCACAATTCCTCACTGGCCCTTACATCAAAGACAAAGCAGCAAGTATCCTAATATTGCAGGCAAACCTGTCTGTGATTCAACCAAAAACATACAAAATTAAGAAGTGATTTAAGTAAGGTCAGCTGTACACAAGGCTCAACATCTCAGGACAGTGATGTTGGAATTCCCGTGTTCGAGTCTCACATGGCCCCTCAGGGCCCCCAAGTGTACAAATAACAGAGGCACTAAGTTTAGAGTCCAGAGAGGTTACTGTAGCTGCAAAACAGCTTACAAAAGCAAGCCTGGAACTCTTAGTGAAGGAGGTATGTTTAAAAAGCAGGAATACAAGTTCAAGAATATTTATTGACTATATAAAAATGCAGTTGCGGGGTGAGACGCCAATCTTAAAATGTGTGGGTAAACGGAGGGCAGTGTTTTGCAGCACTCTAAGCTAAGTCACGCTAGAGTGTGGATGTGTGCTGGGCTCCAGCCAGGTACTTCATGCAACAGTGAAAGTTGAGTATTGCCCACACCCCTTACTGGAAAAACAACTCAAGTGTCATACTGTATTAACATAAAACAGTGGAATCACCTTCACCTGCAAAAGACAGTTCATGTAGTCATATCACACCAAAAAAATAGATGTTTAAAATATCATGTCACAGAATTTAAGGACCGAAGGATCTTTAATGATCACCTACTCCAGCCCCCAACCTTCACCTATTATGGCAAAAGATCCAAGGATGTTAAGGGCTTTGCCCAAAGTCACATAATGAGACTGAGCTTAGAACAAGGTTTCTCATCTCCTAGATTAGCTCATTCCATTATATTAAGTTGCTTCTCACAAATAAACTACATTTTAAAAGAATATTTCTGCATACTGGTGACATTCTGATGGCAGATAATGGTCCATACAACTCTCATTCATTTCTTCAGTTAACAAATATTTCTAAGTTGCTTCTCTGTGCCAGGTGCCACAGAAACACAATTAATGAGAGAGACGCAGTTCCTGCCTTCACTGAAGTTACAGACTCTTCTAATGGTTAATGAATGAATGAAACATACAGTATTTGAGATCAGTAATTGATTGAGAGGGAAACATGAATTTCTAGCCTTTAGTCAAGTCTCTGACGAACAGAATATTTTGTATTTTATATTCCTTTCCACTGACAAACAGCCATTCAGACTGAATTCTTCAGAGTGCTTATAAAATACAAATCCACACATACAGTCACAGAAGGTGAGAGCTGGAACAGGCCAGCTGGAGATCTGCTTGTCCAACTTCTTCATCCTACAAATAGGAAAATGAAGTACCAGGAAGTTAAGAGACTTGCCTCAGGTCACCCAGTGGGAGGGCCACAACTGGAATCCACGGCCCTTGAGTTCCAGGAAGGAAAGGACTTAGCACATTGTAAGCACATCTTATTAAGAGAATATATGATACTTGTTCTCCTTAATATACAAATGGGGTAGGAGGGTGTCAGATATAGAGAAATTAACTGATTTGCTCAAAGTCCTATAAAACTGAAATGACTGCATTTTAAGGGTACTTGTATCATTGGTGTTGGTTTTTTAATTTCCCATCTCTTGATTTTTGTAGCATTTAGTTTCCCCAAAAATAAAATATTAAAAAACTGTAAGTGAAAGCATGCTCATGAGAAATAAAGAAAAGCCAGAGGTGAATTCATAAAAGGTCATGCCCCCTTTTTTTCCATCATACTGTATTAAAACAAACAGTAAATAAGTGAAAACATTGTTTAGAAATGCAGTTTATTCAATGGAATGGAATGAGCTAGTCTAGGAGATAAGAAACCTCATTCTAATCTCAACTCAGCCATAGCTCTGTCTGTGACCTTGGACAAGGTCCAAGGAAAGAGATGTCCTCTGGAAAGGACCCTGAGCTGCTGTGCTCTCAGTGACAAGCAATACAGAACAGGACAGAAGTCAGTGGGCTCTCTCACCTGGTTCCACCAGTCGCCTCCGCCGTGTACCCTGGCTCTCCGGCCCTGCACTGGAATGATCAGGACCCCGGACACCCTGGGGGTCTACGGCAAGTGGCTTCTGTGAAGCTTCAGGTCTGTTGCTTGCTTCCTCAGGGAGGTCTACGGAGCTGCTCCCTAATTGTGCATCTGCTCTTCCTACCTCTTCACTTGGACAACAGCTGGGTTCTGGATGCAAGGATTCTTCACCCCCACTTTCAGGATGCAAGGACTTTTCACCCCCACTTTCAGGATGCAAGGATTTTCCACCTACACTTTCAGGATGCAAAGATTTTTCACCCACACTTTCAGGATGCAAGGATTCTTCACCCACACTTTCAGGATGCAAAGATTTTTCACCCACACTTTCAGGATGCAAGGATTCTTCACCCACACTTTCAGGATGCAAGGATTCTTCACCCACACTTTCAGGATGCAAGGATTCTTCACCCACACTTTCAGGATGCAAAGATTTTTCACCCACACTTTCAGGATGCAAGGATTCTTCACCCACACTTTCAGGATGCAAGGATTCTTCACCCACACTTTCAGGATGCAAGGATTCTTCACCCACACTTTCAGGATGCAAAGATTTTTCACCCACACTTTCAGGATGCAAGGATTCTTCACCCACACTTTCAGGATGCAAAGATTTTTCACCCACACTTTCAGGATGCAAGGATTCTTCACCCACACTTTCAGGATGCAAGGATTCTTCACCCACACTTTCAGGATGCAAGGATTCTTCACCCACACTTTCAGGATGCAAAGATTTTTCACCCACACTTTCAAGATGCAAGGATTCTTTATTCGGACTTTTTGAGGAGAGTTGATGCCCTAGTTTGCCATCCTGAAAACTCTGGTTGGTCTTGAGTTCTGTTTTGTCCTTTGGATAGTTCCCATAACTTGCTTCATCTGGACTTTCTGATTGATTACTTGTATCTGCACTTCCTGAACCTATTGTTTCTACTTCTTGGTGGTCCTTGTTGAGACCAGAGGCAGGGCTCAGGATCTGAGCTTCTTTGGTGGTACTTGCCGTGACTGTGGTCTCCTGTGCCTGAGAATTTATTGATGGGTCATTTTCCAAATCCTTTTGAGAGTCTGTGGAGATAAAAAATTTATCATTTTTATTGAAAAAAATTTCCCTTTTTGTATTCTAACAAGGTCCCTGATTAATAATAATATTATATAGATTTTATGATTTACAAGGCATTCTTCCTAAACATTATTTCTGTTGACATACACTAAAGGAGAGTAAGACAAACACATTTATTATTGTGTTAACAAACTTAACAAATAACACTAATGTAAAACTATCCCGAAGGACAGAGCCAACTTTCGGTTGTATTAAATGCATCCTCTTCCCTAATGAAATAACGGATCTAGGCAATCATCAACCGCAGTAACTAAAACCATTATACAAAAAGCTGATGAGGAACTTTATAATGGATGACCAGGCTGACAGCTGCTGAACCAGCTGATCAATCTTAACATCGCACCAAGAGGGAAACCAGACATCATTAACCTCCCGAGTCAATGCAATAGGAAGTACACTGTACCACCTAGGAAGTCTTCCTGCAAAACTACTGAACCTGAATCTGATCATGTTTCTAGAGCTAACTACCAGGTTCCAAGAAATACAGGGACAGAGGGATGTATTAAATTATGCCTCAGATGCCCTAGCCGGCTTGGCTCAGTGGATAGAGTGTCGGCCTGTGGACTGAAGGGTCCCGGGTTCGATTCCAGTCAAGGGCATATGCCCGGGTTGCGGGCTCGATCCCCAGTGTGGGGTGTGTGGGAGGCAGTCGATCGGTGATTCTCTCTCATCAATGATGTTTCTCTCTCTCTTTCCTTCTTCCTTCCTCTCTGAAATCAATAAAAATATATTTTTTAAAAAATTATGCCTCAGAAATATAATCAGTAAAACCCAGAATGGGGGACATTCCAAGGGGCAAAAGACTCTGCTTCTTTAGTAATAGCAAGAAATAAAATAAATGGCAAGAAGAGAAAATGAGGGGTGACCTATTGATTAAGAGAGACTTCAGAGACAGATGAACCAAATGCAGTCTGCGAACGACACTGTTTTAATCCAGTGTCAAAGAAATCAGTTGTTAGAGAAATATTTATGAGATAATTAGAAAGTCTGAATGCCAGATATTTGATGATACTAAGAAATTTTTGTTCATCTTTTACAACAGTAAAGGTGTTGCAATAATGTTTTGAAAAAAGAATCCTTATCTTAGAGATAAGTATTCAAGGATTTATAGCTAGAATTATATGTCTAGAATTTGCTTCAGTTTAATGACCTGGAGGAAGGGAGAAGAGAGGGAGCACAGATGAGGCCATATGCTGACAGCAGATGAAGCTGTGCGATGGCTACAAGGGGTTCATTTCATGTCTCTCTACTTTTATGTTTGAAATTTTCTATAATAAAACTTTAAAAAGTTCAAATGCATTGTGTGACCCCACTGTAAAGAGAGAAAAAAAAAAACTCAACTGTTACTGAGAGAACTGGGTAAATGTGAATACTCACTGGATACGTGATAATATTAAGAAAAAACAATTTGCCCTAACCGGTTTGGCTCAGTGGATAGAGCGTCGGCCTGCGGACTCAAGGGTCCCACGTTCGATTCCGGTCAGGGGCATGTACCTTGGTTGCGGGCACATCCCCAGTAGGGGGTGTGCAAGAGGCAGCTGATCAATGTTTCTCTCTCATTGATGTTTCTAACTCTCTATCCCTCTCCCCTCCTCTCTGTAAAAAATCAATAAAATATGTTTTTTTAAAAAAAAGAAAGAACAATTTATTTTTTAGATGTGATAATGCTATTTTGGTTATGGTTCTTAAAAATCTATTTTTAAGAGAAAAAACTTTCTACAAATAAAACGATGTAATGTCTTATATTCACATTTAAATATTCCAAAGCAGGAAACAAGTTCAGCATTATGTAGGTAATACTTGAAGTTAGCTGTTAAGTACATGGGGGTTCATTACACAGTTCTACTTTTATGTTTTTTTAAAAAAATCCTTTGTAAAAGATTAAAATAAATATGCCCGTCTTCTCTTCTGCAAAATCTACCTCATATTTTGCCTATTTTGTGTACCCTCTATATATACATAAGTAGGGTGAATTTAAATTTCATCTTTCCCTATAATAAAAAGACCCCCTCTAAATATATAGCACGTCTCTGTTTTCTTAACTTTTAAAAAATCTTGATTTTTAAAATAAATAACAATTTGTCTACAATCTTTTTAAAGAGCCTTTGCATTTTTCCAATACTACAGGTTCCAACGACTGGAGTCTCTAAAACATTAATCTTACTTATAATTAAGGTCTGATATTTTGGTAAAATTTAGTAAATATGAAAGGATAAGAATAACCAGAGCAAATTAAACAATGACATTAACTTCTTTTTACTTCCGAACTTCAGGCAGGTTTCCGTCATCAGAGGTTTTCTCTCAGCCCAGCCCTGGTTTCCTGCAGCACCAACCCCAGTGCTGCACAACCCGCCTTACCCTTCGGCGGGTCCCCAGGTCCTCTGTCTGCCATGGTTGTGTTCTCTCTCTTCAGACCTTGGGGTTCTTTTTGTTAGTGTCTGGTTTTCCTTGTGAAGAAGTCTTGTTTTCTTCTTGTCCCAAGTCCCAACAGACTCATGCTTCCCGCAGACCCAGGAAACAAGGCATATGTACAGTCACTAAAATAAAACTGAAAAAAAAATTTAAAATGACTCTTTAGTCATCCATGGGAGAAATGCCAATTTCAGCTTTACTTATTAAATCTGTTTAGTTTGAGTCATATTTACTCTCTGAAACGTTCTCTAGTGAAGATAAGAATGTTTTCTGCCTTTCTCGAGGATCACATTCCACAGCCTAGACTACAAATAGAAAAAAGCTTCAGATTCTTAACTTTGAATACTCTCCCAGTACATTCCAGTGTGGCTGAAAGGATATGAAAAAGTTAAGACCAAGTGACCAGAATCTTAAAGAGAATATCTATGAAATTGGAAGGAAAAGTCATTCTAAGAGTAGAAAGTTAAGTCACTGCTGAATTACTCATTGCCAATTTCCATTATGTCTTCAATTTCTGTCCCATATACATTTCTCAGAGTTTGCCTGTCAGAAGGTTATCCTTCACAAGTAACAATGCACAGGGGCTACCTGCAAACTGAGACAGCTGCCTTGAGGTTTGGAGGAGAGAATGTCCATCAGCAGATGAATCGATAAAAATGTGGTACATACATACTATGGAGTACTACCCAGCCATAAAAGAGGATGAAATCTTGCCATTTGTGACAACATGGATAGATCTAAGTGAAGTATGTCGGACAGAGAAAGACAAATGCCATATGATTTCACTCATATGTGGAATCTAAAAAAACAACACAAAAACAACAACAAATAAAAGAACAAACAAAACTCATAGAAACAGGGAAGATTGGTAATTCCCAGAGGGGAATGGGGCCAATTGTATGGTGAAGGATGGTAACGAGACTTTTGGTGGTGATCACTTTGTAGTATATACAGATGTCAAATTATAATGTTGTAACCTGGAACTTTTGTAATGTTATATACCAAGTTTAACTCAATAAAAAAATATATATGTGAAGGAGCCTTGTAAAGTGTTTTGAGAGGCTAGTCAACTAGCCGTCTTTGTATCTTTCTCACAGCACAATTTTGTAAAATTTAATTTTACTCCCAAATGCCTACCTAGCACAGTGCCTGGTATAGAATTTTCAATCCAAATTTTAATTGAAAATATTATGAATGAAGAGTGGTGCTACTTATAAACTGGAAGGGAAGGGAGGAGTTAGGGACAGGACTCCTTTCTGCTGGTGCAGATGTATGAACTGTGGTGATAAAAACACAGGTCAGTGGCTCCTGGTGGAAGAAGTACTGGAAAAGGGCATGAGAAGACACTTTGGGGTCCAGAAAGTACTTCAGGTCTTTATTGAGGTGGTGGTTACAATCAGTTGCCATCAAATGAAAAATCTGTACATTTTGTTGCACGTAGAGTATCTTCAATAGAAGTTATAACACAATGCTTTCAAAATGTATTACTTGGAAACAGAATGTATTACTAGGTTGCAGCCAACAAACAACCTGCAAAGGAGCCGTCACAAGTATTTCTATCATCTCACGAATGCTCAGTATACACCTTTCTTGTCTCAAGGCACATGCCATTCCGAAGCCCATGGCATTCGGACCCTTTCTAACGTATCCTCCTCACATGTTCACAGCTGAAGTGGTATTCCCTCGAGGCTGCAAGTTAGAAGTGGCACAAACATGGAGTTTCCTGACACAGCCTCACAAGAAGTCACGTGCTGGGGTACCTGGGAGATCTGGAGGCCACTATTCCAGAAGCAGGTCAATCTTTTGAATGTGTCCAATCCATATACTAGGAAGTGTGCGCATTAGGAACCCCTGGACTGCATCATGGAAGTGAGGCAGAGCCTCGTCCTGATGGAAATGGGGATGTTGGAGCCTTTCTGCAGCTGTAGGAAAAAGTCCCAAAAAGACACCTTTAAAGGGATCTTTCCCAAAAACAAGCTGAGGAAGACCCTATGTACCTATATGGCATAAAAACATTTACATTTAGTGAAATCCTTTCAAGTTCAATCATGAAATGTTGGTTTTCGGTGCCCCTGGCGGTTATCTCCACTCCCCCGTGACCCTGAAATCTGCAGCAAAACTTGGGTCACTTTGCTATAACTGTTTCCAGGAAGGACTGAGACTGGTTAAAGCAGTCAGGTTTTATTCTCCATTTATGGAGAATGCACCAGATGGCAGAATGTGGAATGCCTTTCCTTGATTTCGATATCCTGGGACTTCTCTAAAGAGGTACACAAATTTGCTTCACTGCTTCCTCCGCAGATGTGGCTCCTCTTTGTGCTCATCTCCTTGTACCAATGGCAATGCCGTGACAACCTGGGAGGTGTTCCCTGTCTGGTACACAGAATGACTTAAGTAACACAAGCAAGTTTAGCAGACTCCAACATACAAAGTTAAATGTTGTAAGGGTAACTCTATAAGCTGATGCATATTACAGATGTATGTATAAATTTATAACTAATAAAAATGTGAAAGTATCCAATTCTTTGTATTGCTCTGTCCATTAAGTAGATATAAAATTAAAAATTATATGCATGAATAGAAAGGACAGACATCGACTTCCATTTAGTGCTTGCTTCTGCAGAGGGAAGGACAAGAATAGGCTGAGGCCTTAATCAGTTTGACTCAGTGGATAGAGCATTAGCCTGCAGATTCAAGGGTACCAGGTTCGATTCCGGTCAAGGGCATGTACCTTGGTTGCAGGCACATCCCCAGTAGAGAGTGTGCAGGAGGCAGCTGATCAATGTTTCTCTAATCGGTGTTTCTAACTCTATCCCTCTCCCTTCCTCTCTGTAAGAAATCAATAAAATAATTTTTTAAAAAAAGAATAGGCTGAGAGCAAGGACAGGAGGCAACTGTATCTGTAAAGTATCTTTTAAAAGAAGGAACAGAGATAAATGTGGCAAAATGTTCATGGGATCTGGGTACATAGCTAAATGTTATTTTCTGCACTTTTCTATATGTTGGATGTAATGAATAATTTTTTAATGAGTAATAAAATAAAATATATTCGCTTCTGTGGGGAAAAGAATAGAAAGAAAAGGCCTGTGATAGTAACTCTGAGCCCACAGAGAATGAACTTACAGTCCAGAGTCACCATTCAACCACAGTCTCCCATACATTTTGGGAGGAAACAGGACAAGGAAAAGCTGCTGGGAAACAGTAGGACCTCACCCAACCGCCACTCCATTCTGAAAACTTCTAGTTTGGCCCTGGGGACCAAGCAGGAGTTGGAGAGGGGTTAGAGACCTGGAGGAGACGTGCAGAAGAGGGAAGAGGCAGGTATCAGGAAGCACAGGTGTCTGCAACACCAAGAGCTAAATATTTCTTTTAAAAAGGAGAGGGAAATTAGAAGTCTAGCAGCTGAGAAAGACGTAAGAGAATCCTTCAATCCAGGATAGTCGTTTCGACATAAATGCCATCGCATCAAAGGTATGACAGGGCCCAATAAGTGTATATCTATTATTCTGTTTTCATATGCTCCTTTTAATGAAGGATGCCATTTATGCTCTAGAGATAAAAAGTAGCAGATAACGTGGTCCTCAATTTACAATCCTGCTATGGAGACAAATAACAAAACATACACAACGACAATAATAGCTAACATTTATTGAGCATGTTCTTTGGGCCAGGGAGCCTTCGAAGCACTTTATGTATTAACTTATTTAATCTTCACAACAATCTTATGATGTATGGACCATGATTATTGACCATGATTATTCCTTCTCTTTTCCAGATGAAGTGGATACAGAAGTTAAATCGCCCAAGGTCATTCAATAGTCAGAATTCGAAGACAAGCCCAGATCAGCTGGCTGCAAGGCCATCATGTTTCCTCTATAAACTGTTATCAAGTTGTGTTCTCGAGATCCCATAGCAACTCAGAGCTGCTGGAGGGACCTGAAGAGCTGGAAGGGGTATGACTCACTTCACTTTTACAGGTATCTATAACATGCTGACAGCCACATACTCTTTGAATGCCATAGAGTTCTTTTTTTGCCTGGGCTTGCCTGGGGTTCCTTCTCCTATGAGTTAGAGATAAATCTTAACAGTCATCCACAACCCAGAACAGCTTTCTTTTGATGACACATTTTCTTCCCTGTCTGCCCAGGCATGTTTCCATTAACCTTCCACTCCCAGGTCTGCCATAAAATAACAGGTAATTATAAAAGTCATTTTTAAAGTGGCCACCATTATGTGTACGTAGTATTATCAACCCGTTCACAGTATGGAAGTAGAGATGGATATGGCTCACATAATCCAAAACAGTGGATAACTCTCCACATCATTTGTCATGAAAATGAATTTTAGGAACATACTTATACTTTGAAAACTCTGAAGTGGAGTCCTCTAGAATGATCTATAGTATTTTAAACCAAGCGTAGTCATACTGAAATGACCTAAGATGAAGAGCTACAAAGCTTTCTAAATTTTCTCCCTTGCTCAGTGTTATGAACTCTGCCACACGATGTTATTTCTGAGCGAACCATATAACAGGTATGTGATAATCATGTCTGAAGGCAAAGTATCCTACTTAAGGTAAATTAAAATTAATATTTTTTATTCCTTCCTTTTGCCCATATACTCACATGGCTTATAATGACACCATACAGAACTGTTTGTGAGGAGGGCTACAATGGTGCAATCATTTTAATTTGTGAGAAATGTGTAACCGAGTTGTAACCTGAAATATCAAGTGACCTTCAGTCTGACGGGAAATCTCTCTATGTCACCAGCAAAGTACAATTACCTATCACTACCTTGTCGCACTATGAGCACTCCGTTCCCATCATTTTAAGCCAGATAACTGGACACCCTGGATATGTTGCTATTGTATGTCTCCAGGTATGACCCACAGAGCACCTACCTACACAAGGCTCCTAAGGCACGACTTATAAAATGCAGATTCCTGGGCCCTGTGAGCAACCTAAGGAATCAAGATTTCTGTAAGATCAAGAAATTCGCAATTTTTGACAAGTTCATCCAGATACTGATTTGAAAATCAATGGAATAAATCGATTTAATTTGTCTTTACTACTAAAAGGAGAGATTGGTTAAAACAAAAGACCTCGTCTCTATTTTGCTGATAATTAGAATTGCACATATGTAGAGGGTTTCTGAAAAAAATGTAGAGCAATAATATTGATCATAACACCATCCTCAAAAGCAATACCTCAAAGTAAATGTTCACTTTCTGGAGTGAGCGTTAGAATAGCGAAGGAGTTCTTAATCAAGGCATAATGATAAACTACTAATCTTCACTCGGTTTAGCAGTCCACACAGTTTATTCAGCAATATAACAGGAGAGAACTTCCACCAAGACAGACATAAGGCAGATACAGGAGAGGTCTCTGGGGTACATTCTTTATACAGACGAACAAACAGCTCAGGTTTCACAACATGTGGCAGGCATGAGTTCCTGCATGAAAACAGCCATTCATTCCCCACTGCTTCCTTCCTCAAAGAGCCCTCATTTTATTAGGGGAGACAATGTGCCCTGCCTAGGCACTGCCAACCCCATTCTCCTTGGCCTGGCTTCCCAGGCTCCTGTTTGAATCAGTACCTTCTAATGAGATGTAAGGAGAAATTGGTGAGGGACTGTTGGGAAAGATTTCCTTTCCAAGTAAGACAGAGTCTTCAAAGGAGAAAGCTTTCGCTCCCTGCTTCCAAATGGGACTGAAATGCCTAGAGCAGCAACAAGCCACACTGTAATCACTGAGGACACTAAGAGGACAAAAGCTAATGCGATCAGGATCCCAGAGGGGAAAACAGAGAGGACCTGGGACCCTGAGAACACTGTTGAGTTGCTCCACAAGCAATGGATTATCTAGCATCTTAAGTGGAATTTTAAACTTATCCCATGGCCTCTGAGATGTTCCAACAGGTTTTTCTAAATTTCTCATGAACAAGTGAAGGCCAGAATGTGGCTAACACCCAGCAAGACCGTCTTGGTTTGAAGATGCTTCCCTTCGACTGCTCCTACTATTACGGAGTCAAGCTGGAGACCTCTTTTTGCAGCCTATCTCATACACACTTTTCCATTTCCTGGCAGGACATTCCAAGTTCAGTCACCACAAAGACAGGACAGTCTTTGTTTATGTAGAGCCAAGTAAATATAGCCAGTATAGGCATTTCTGCATGTTTTTGTGTAACCTATGTAGGTGTTACCAATCGGATGTGGTTTCTCTGGCAGTGACCAGGGATCTATAATATCAAAGCCACACTAAGGCCAAATAGAGCCAATTATGAATAAATGATTATATATGAATTAATTATATATAAAATCAGAAGGGGTGGAATCAGAACAATGTAATTTCTTATTAAAATGTCTAGTTCTTTTACTGAAATCATCTAGAACAGCGGTTGCCAACCTTTCGGCCTTTACGGACCACCAGTGAGGCGACCGCTGATCTAGAAGCCAGCTACAATGAAGATGCTTTCCCACAGAAGTTATCACTAGAAATACCATCATGGTATACACAGTATGGGGCTCCTCCAGGACTACCTTGTCCTCTGTCAGTAGTTAGGCTGTGGAGCTTTTCAGGAGGGTAAGCTAATTCCAAAGCACAGGGAACACGAAATGCTCTGGCTCCAGATGAACAGCCGGCTGGAATACTGACTAAATTCATGCCGAACAGAATAGGTGTAGACCATGGGAGCAGACCCAGCAAGTTAAGCAGTTCCCCGAAGTAGTGACAGTCTGAATTAGATATAAAATGCGTCATTTTGCCATCTTCCTTGAGTTACTAGCACAAAACCCTCTAGAGTCTCCATGATTGTGACTCTTTAAGAAGTTATTTGCTTTGGCCAAGTTTTTTGTTTAAGGTTGTGTCTGTTCTAGCCAAGATTAACTGTAATGCTGGGTTAAAACCAGCTAGTCTAGAGTCATGTATCCTCTTTCTAACCAGCGGAGGACCCAGAAGAAATGGGTGGCAAGCTTTTTCAAAGGTCCACCTGGTAAGATTTTGGGGAGCCCATTCAAGTGGGAAAGACCAAGGAAGGACAAGGCTTCTGTTAGCAGGATTATCAGGATAACACTCAGGACAATAATCAGCTCTGTTGATACGGTCTAAGAATACTTGGTAACATTCATTTTCAATAAGTTCAGTTTGGTACAACCAGTGGCCTAGTTCTAAACTAGGAAACCACTGTTGCCCACAGTCAGGGCAATGTGAATTATCTGAGAACATCTGGTCCTCCAGCGATAACACAGAAAGCAATGCAACAGTAAGAGACAACAATGACAAAGGGAGATAAATAGCCAGTCCTATCACAGGTTTGGTTTAGCAATTTCTCAGTCCAACCGATACTACTTAGAGAGAGAGTTAAATCTGGCTTGCACTTACGTGCAATTCTTCAAGATTTCGTTGTCTATGTTTCACTCAATGACAACTCAGTCTCTCAACTCAGCGAACAATCCAGTCTATAATGTTCTCAGTCACTTGCTAGGAGCACAGATCACAGAATAGCCCCTTCAAATTCCAGTTTCTCAAGAAAAGCTAGAACTCTGGTCTAAATTAGTTATTTTTTTCTTGTGTGTTAATCAGCTGATGATCTCATGCAGAGGCATTTGGCTTACTCTGCTTTGCTGGTTAGCTATTGTGTCTGGTTGGTCAAAGAGAGGAGCTGACAGATCCAATGGGTCTTTGTGGGCGCTGGCACTCTTGCCGTTGTGATACACGTACCCAAGTCTTAAGGCCTTGGCACTTTACAGCGATGTAGGGGGGTCAGGAAAACCTGGGATCGTCCTCTTGAGCGTGGATCCAATGAAGTCTTTCTTGGGAGGACCTTAATCAGGACCCGTCAGAGAAGTAGCTGATGCTGAGTTGGTTGGAGGGTCTGGGAATGCTTCACATACCTGCAAATGATAACACTTCAGACGACTCATAATGGGTTTTCAGTTGCTCACAATATTATTAGGAACATGCATTGGGAAATCATTTGAGTCAATCAAGGTGGATGAGAATTGTCTCACAGGTTTCCCCATACAATTTCATCTAATTTATCTGTTGGGAGTTATTCCTATACTTATTTTGGCACTAGGAAGGGCTTTGGTTCATTTAAGATTTGTAATAGCTTCATTTTTTAAAGACTATGTTTCCTTTTCTTTACTCCTTTTACATTTTGGGAATAATAAGGTCTGCATAATCATATTTAACCTGGTAGAACTTTGAGATTTCTTGTATATCTCGAAATGGATGACATATAAGGTATTCCCATAACGTGTGAGAGAACATTAAGGATGACAGTCTTTCTACAATAGACTTCAATCTATTCAAGAAAAAGCTTACAAAATTATTCAATAATACTCTTAATAGCGAACAATAGGAAGTTGGATGAAATCCTTTTGAAGGCTGGGAAAGAAACCAAGACAGGCTATGCCCACATCTATTTTTGTAGGTTTGTGCACAGTGTAAGTTTAAGAAGGCAAGTAAGGCCTAGTTCTGAGCAATGGTCCTGGGCTATTTTTAGAAAACATATAGTAATTCAGTTGGAATTTGCAGATACTACCGTGATCTCTGTAATCCTTCATGGCATGAATAGAACAAGTAGATGAGGTGGGGTAGCAGGATGTATTGGACAACCAGAGAACCACCTAGGGTGCCACAGGCTATCAGAGGACAATGTATACCCCGACTTTCTCCGGTGTTATTTGTGAATTTTGAGGCTGGATGCTGTGAGGGCACTAAGGGAAACAGGGATTCTCAGATTTCAAAATGGCAAGTTTAATGCCACATAGGGCCAATATTTTGATAGAAGCCCCAGAGGAGGTGCAGAAAACATCAGTGTAGATATATTGATATGTTTTTTGAGGTTAGGTAATAATGTACAGTTGAGAACAGAGTGAACAGATGGTAAGATTTCTAACTCAACCTTTATGGTGACAACAGGGCAGAATGGATTTCCCTGTGGGTCTACTGACAAGGGTCACCAAAGTCAAAGTTTCAGTTGTGGTACTGGGAAATCTTGGGTGTCTAGTACATGGAACATGTACTTGATGATGAACCCATATGATCATGGAGTTTAACTTAGGAGTTAGCAGTAAAGTTATATGACCGACATAGGAAAGATATAGAATTTTGGATTTTTAGAGTGAAAAGGGAAAGTGCAATTAACACCACAAGATGCTCTTCCACACCCACCAGACAAGTTTGACAATGGGAACTCTGTAGACTCTAGACCAGTGGTTCTCAACCTTCCTAATGCTGCGACCCTTTAATACAGTTAGTTCCTCATGTTGTGGTGACCCCCAACTTCACTGTTACAAATTGAACATAATTAAAGCATAGTGATTAATCACAAAAACAATATGTAATTATATATGTGTTTTCCCATGGTCTTAGGCGACCCCTGTGAAAGGGTCGTTCGACCCCCAAAGGGGTCACGACCCACAGGTTGAGAACCGCTGCTCTAGACAAAACCATCCCTCCCCAAGGACATCTCCATTGGCCGGGTCGAGAGGAAGCCATACTGCTCCAAAAATTCAGAGTAAATCCACCCTCACCCCAACCTTCATTTCTCCAACTTCAACAGTCAAGCAAGCACTAGAGTTCCAAGTATTCCTGAATCAAGAGAACACTAGTGTTCCATATGCCCCTCTCCTGGTCCCTTACACCACTATGGGCAAGAGTCAAAGTGGGCCCCAAAGCACTAAGTGCTCAGAATAAGATCACCTAATACCAGCCTCCTCGCTCATTCCTCAGCCTTATCACTGCTGGGAGAGTGAAGAGGGCCTCCAAAAATGTTCCCAGCAAGATTCTCAAACTCTACCCCCAACCTCAAACTAACAGCTTCACTACCATCATCTGCCTGAAAGCATCAGGACCAACCAATCTCACCATTCCTGTATCTTTTTATGTCATCACCACATGAAGCCCAGAGCTTCCTGGTTGCGGTTCATCCCCTTAGTCTCTGACCCCCATGACTCTAAGAGCAGTGAGATAGCATTCACTCGCCTTGCTTTATTAATTTTTTCCCCATAACATGTACCATTTTGATATATTAAATATTTTAGTTATTAGCCCCTACTAAAATACAGACTAGGACTTTTTGTCTTTTTGTTTACTGCTGTACATGCCCAATAAACATTTCTTGAATGAATAAATAGCAACTTGAATTTTATACCCTGACAAAAGGAGTATAAATTAATGCAACTACTTTCAGAATTGAGTTGGCATTATTTAGTAAAGACGAAGATTTGCATTCCCTCTAATTCAGTAATTCCACTCTTAGCTTTTATATCCTAGAGAAATTTCACATGTGCATTTTAAAAAATTAATAAAAATATTTATTCATGGTATTGTATATAGTAGCAAAATAACAACCAAAATGTCCATGAACAGTAGAATGGATAAATAAATTGAAGTACTGCCATACAATGAAATACTATACGTAGATGAAAACTCAAGAATATTGAGCTGAAAAGTAAAAAGCAAGTAGCAGAATACACACACGCACATAGTTTCCATTTACATAAAGTTTCAATATATTATTTAGGAATAAATATGCAATAAAGTTAAAAAGAAAAAGATAAGCACAAGGATAATTATTACCTTTAATGGGAGAGGGAGGGGATGCAATCATAGTTTTTTTCCTTCCACTGAATCATAAATCCTAATAGTTTACATAATCTCTATTCAATCTTTTATCATTAAAAAAAAAAAGGATAGAGTGGAAATAGCAATGGACTAAAAACGATTAATAGACACAACCAAATTGTCACACTGTGGACAAGAAGAGCAGCAGCAGTTACTCTGCTTAGAGGAAAAGTGGGTGAAAAGAGGAGTCCCACAGAAGGATCTCGATCTTTGTTTTTCTCATAAAATTGTAAGCAACTATCTTACAAATAGGGTAAACAGGCTTACCCTAATGTTAGTATGGAAAAGAAAGTTTATCTTGGCATACTCCATAAAGACATGCATGTTTGTAGGGAGGATATTACCTAATAGGGTGTCTTTGTGCAAGTTAGAAAAAGGTACCCTCAATCCGGGCAAAAGGCAGTCCAGAGAACCTCACTTTGCCAGGTATTCAAATATACTAAGTATTATTATACTGAGTATAATAATACTTAGTAACAATAGTTAACACTTATTGAGTACCACCATCTGTTTTAAGCACTTTACACATATTAACTCATGTAATTCTTACAATAATTCATTTGAAGAAACAGAAAGGTTGAGCCACTTGTCCAAGGTTACATGGGTCATAGAATTAATTGGTATTTGAATCCAGGCAGACTGGTTCCAGAGCCTGTACTCTTAGCCACTAGGAAATATCACCTTTCTGAAGCAGTGACAGTTGAGCTTAGAAAGCCTTCTTCATAAACTATGTGCAAATTTAAAAGGATCCTCTTCAGTGGTGTGTGTGTATTGATTGAGGTGGACGTGGGGGAAAATTCTCTCATAATTTTCCTCTTCCACACAAAAAGGTCGAGGATAGGTTTCAGGGAATCCTGAAACCCCTGGAATTACATGTAAATTTCTTTATGTATACATACGCATTTTTTCAGGAAAGAGAGTACGACATACTTTTAGACTCCCAAAGGAATCTGAAATGGTTCAGAACCATTCAGTGTTGCTTCCTTCCTCAACTATATTAGCTTAAGTCAAAAGCAGTTGATTGAGGTTAATATATGATTACTGTCAGGCTTGTGAAAATGCTGAAAAATACCTAGAGAACCAACATTACTCTACTGATTACTAAACGTAATTGTTTAAATTAAGGAAACCACCATGTACTAGGCCCAATGTCAAGTTCTATGGATATCGACAGAAAAATCTTACAGGACTTTTAGATGAGCACGAAATCTAGACTGGAAGCAAATTTTAGGTAAAGGCTAAGGGCTTTTATATGGATATCAAAAGACGGCCTGTAGAGATCCTATGAAATTCAGGAAGGCCCACAAAAGAAGCTGAATGCCTTTATTTTCAAACAAACCTAACCAACAACAGTGGGTAAAAATTAAACTTAAAAGAGCTTTTCCACCGCACATATACTACATAAAAGAAAAACACAGATCAGGTTTGTTTGTTGTTGTTGTTGTTTTTGTGACAACTCAAATAAATTTAAGAGTCTTCCTGATACTTTATTAGATCAGAAAATAGCTCTTTAATGTGCTAGAAAATAGAAAATGCAGATTTATTTAAACCACTGAAATTCACATACACTAATGATGGCAGCTTAATACATATTAAATAATTATCTTCTCTAAAAATTCTGACTATAGACAAATACTATTCCCTTGTTCTTTTTGGTGGTAGGATAATATAAATTTCAGAATGAGTCAGGACTGGGTGACTTCTCTAGGCAAATATATCTTTTAGACTTTGGTCTCAGCGAACTCCTCATATGCTATATAAAATCAAAAGATAGGCACACAGAAAAAATTTAAATGCTTTAAACCATCTTGAGTTTCCATTTTAAATATTTTCTCCATAGAAAGGCTAATGAGTAATCAAAACTGTTTATTTTTTTGTACAAGACAGTTTCTCTAAGTTTCAGAAACTCTAAAGTGAAATATTTGAAGTTTCATATTTCACTAGTTTGGAATTTAGATAATGGGAGATTAAGGAGTATTTAAAAAAGGGAATCAATTACTCTTCTTTGTAAATCACACAAACTAAATTACTTGTTAAAAATATGTTATGAAAATAAATGCTCCTGCAAAAAGTCTTTAGCCTAAGTTCTGTGACGCACTACTTTTAAAAATTGGCAAAGTCTTGAGGTCACCAAGAGAAGGCACATGGATGACAATCTTCAGCACTATTTCGTACACACACTGTTCCCTCTTACGAAGAACAGATAAGCCAAAGGAAAAATATGATCCTGACCTTGACAACAGCTGCAGATGATTCTCC